GTGCTGGTGCCGCTGGGGCGTTGAGGCTCCTCATAGCCCACCGGGGGCGCAAAGTCCACTTCTAGGTCTGTCTCGAGTACGGAAATGGCATTGGTGTCGGTGGATGGCTTGGTTTCCAAGACTGCCATCTCGTAAACTTGATCATTGTATGCAAATGTGAACACATCTCCCTTGGTTAGGCAGGAGAAGTTACGGAAAGCATTCTCCAGCACGGCCTTTGGGTCACTTATATCGAGGAACGAGGTGGATTGAGCTTGCAGCTTGATGAATTGACCGGGTGGGAGATCGGTTGACTTGACCTGTACGAGGTCACCGGGTTCCAGGAGGAGGGTTTGCATGAGCTGCGGGAGATCAACCAGTCAGCATCCTGCAGAGTACCTATTATAAGATGACATTACCCAGAAAGGTAGATAGATCTTCCCCTCTTCCGCAATGAACTCCAGCACACCAGCGTGCGTCAACCTTTCCCGTGCGCCGTTGTGAAGCTCGAACAACATCGGATACGTAATATGAAGGCGAGTAAGCTTGTCAAGAGCGCTGGGCGGCATGATGACCTTGCCGCCGTGGTTCACGTTCTCTCTCTCCGGACCGGGCATCATGGCGACAGGATAGCAGCGATAGTATTCATCGAAGCGACGAGCAGCTCCATGGCGGAACATGGAGCCACCCATGACTCCGTTCATGGGATCGTCATCCCAATAGCCAGATCGAAACTATCATCATCCGGGTATCAGCATGTCCACACCCAAGTACATAACGGCGCCTAAGCGGGGAACTCACCATGATTCGAGCTGGAGTGGTACCCTATAGGACTTCAGATGAGAATCAACTGATACCACCGGTTTTCGCTACAATCCGAGCTGTAGTCAGTAGCAAATAGGATGCAATCCGCTGCGGTGGCGAGAAAGCAGGGAAGAAGCTAGCAGGGAGAGCTGTTCGGGTGAAGGTCAGGAACGAACGGAGCGATCAGATCGCAGTGACGCAAACGCCGCCGCGATGATTTTCCGACCCGACCCCAGACAGCTCCATTTGCTCTGCGCAACCACTCTGCTGGAATTCTTCGTTGGACTTCCCCAGAACCATTGATTACTACGACTTTCGATGCATATGCTCCGGAAGGATCCGTAGAATCCAAGAGACACCTCATATCTACTGCGCAACTCCATGTCCGCCTCTCAGCCACGCCCCAAGCGAGCGGGTGAAGACTTCACCCGCACCCACCACCACGAAGATGACGACGTGAACGGTGCCTTCAAGAAGCCTCGCTTTGATTTACGAAATCCCTCCGCGCTTGCCCCCGATGCGCTCGAAGACGATGCAGTTTTGGATGCAGACGAAATAGGACGCCGTGGACAACAAGTTCGCCGCAAAGCTGTCAACCTTGACGGTTACGACTCAGACAGTGAAAATGAAGGATTTTCGGCGCGCATCGAGGCCAAGTCGAAAGCAAGCAAAGAGAAGCACGATGCGGAAGATGACGATATGTTTGCCGAGTTGCAGGAGGATTTTGGTGCAGAAGAGGTCGACGCCGATGAGGCCATGCGCAAGAACAAGAAAACGGTGCGATTCCTACGAGACGACGAAATCGAGGGCCAAGTCGCTTCATCCAAAGGCGGAGGCACTGTACATGCAGATTTCAGTAAAGGCGCCGACGAGGTCGACAATGAAGAAGACGAGAGCGAAAGCGAGGTCGGAGATGAGGAGCGCGCAAAGCTCGATGAGGAATTGGATGAGGAGCTTGGCGCTGGCGCAAAGAAAAAGCATGCGCCCGTACTGGACGCGTTCAACATGCGCACCGAACAAGAGGAGGGCAGATTCGACGATCAAGGCAACTACATCAGGAAAGCAGCAGACCCGGATGCGGTCTATGACAGCTGGTTAGAAGGCGTGTCGAAGAAGGATATCCGTCGCGCCAAAGAGGCTGCAGAGAAGCGAGAGGAGGAGAGAAAGGAAAAGGATAGGCAAGATGACAGTGTATTGACATCAGACGCCCTAAAGACCATCATCTCACACCTCGATCGAGGCGAGACAATTCTGGAAGCGCTGGCAAGGATTGGCAAGGGAGCTCCAAAGAAACCGAAATGGCAGGCGAATCGCAACAAGAATCGGAAAAAGCAAGAAACTGCGAACGAGGACACCGAAATGGCCGAAGAGGATCCCAAGGAAACGGCTAGAAAGCAAGCTATTGATGCTATCACAGGCGCAGCCGATATTCTCATGACGAGAGGGCAGGCGGATATCTACGACACTGAACGCGAGATGCTCACTAGGCAATACCGCCGTGAAACTGGGGAGGACTGGGTTGACCCGTCTCCTGGAAACTCAGGGCCCAGTGAAGGGACTCCTGCGATGTGGGAGTTTCGGTGGGCGGACGCCCGTGATGGCGGCGTCACACATGGTCCATACGATAGTGCGACGATGGAGTCGTGGAAGAATGCGGGCTACTTTGGCGAAGGTGTCGAGTTCCGACGGACAGACACCGGTCAGTGGCAGAAAGAAGCAACATTTGCATAAACATCGTACAAACTTACGTCTACTGGCATTTACGAATACCATATGCTGGGAAACATTAATTGCATCATTATCATTCGAGCCTAGGCTCTTTGTTCAAAGTTGAGACCCAAATATCGCAGTACCCACAGCAGATGTGTTTTGAAAAAGCGCCAGCATTATCATACACCAAGCAATTCATCTGGTAAACGAAAACCGAACAATATAAAAGACGGGAAATGGTCCTCCGTAGGCCTTGCAATCCATGCCTCAGTGCCGTCTAATCATGGCAGAGGCTTCCCACGCACCAAGAGTCATTGAAAATCTCCATGGCAAAAAGGACTATGAAAGCTCCATCGCATCACCGTTCGTAGGAGCAATGAAGCTGACGGCACCTTGATCGCCGATGAAACGCTGTTCGTATGTGCTGACGAACTTAACACTCCGTGCAGGGTCGTAGAACAACCGGTAACTGCGCTGGACGTCATCAATGCTAACCTCCTTCGCCTTGCGCTTCTGGCTGAGCAGGTGAGAGGTGGTGATGATATTGCTGGCATAGCGTAGATTCGACTCCTGGCCGATCTTGGTGAGCAGCGCCAGAGCGTCCGGAGAAAGGTCGATCTCTTCCTCTTGAGCGCGAATCGCCAGAATCTGCCTAATCTCATCGGCAGAGTAGGGCTGTGTGCTGACAATCACCACGCGGTCGAGGAAATCAAGGGGCAGGCCGTGCGGAGAGCTGTATGTCGTACCACGAATCCGGGCGTGGCCCCGGTTGCTAGCCATGATGACGATAGGTGCCAGTTCCGCCTCCAAAGCGCGGTTGATGTAAGAGAAGCATTCAATGTCAAGCATGTGCACTTCATCAATGAAGAGAACTCCCGGAATGATCTCGGCTTTTCCTTCTTCCTTCCACTCCGCCACCTTGGTGTTAATCTGATCCCGCACTTCACTCCTGATCTCACCGGTATCACCAGAGAAGAGAGCCAAGAATCCTTGTGACCGCGAGTTGATCACATCGATCTCGTGAAGGCTAACGGTGTGCACGATTTCCTTGCGAACCTGGAGTTCACCCTCGGGGCATTGGACAAACTTTGTGTCAGCTCCCATCGCATCATAGTCGCGCGACCGAGCGTAAGAACGTCCCAGCTTGGTAATCTTGCCCGAAGATTTGTCAATGGAGATAATGTCACCGGCCATCACTCGTTCTTTGGTCATTGAGTCGATCATCTTTGTTCCCATGTCGTAGATCGTTTCCATGTCGGTCGTCTTGATGGTGAGCTTGCCTTGTTTGTTTCCCTAAGAGATCACTAATGTCAGAAAACTCATCATTGAGAGCTCACCCGAGATCTCACTTACACCAGTAACACTGCGGTCAATCTGAATTTCAACCACTTCACCCTCGATGATCTCACTCTCTTCCTTGATACGAACGCCAATCGATTTGCGGAAGGCTTGCGTGAGCGCCTCGGTCTTGGACATCTCCATGGAGAAGATCTCTGACGCTGCAAGCATTGTGAAGGGGACATCGGATCCGAGGGATTGCGCCATACCCATGGCGATGGCTGTTTTACCAGTGCTGGGAGGGCCAGCAATCAGCAACGCGCGACCGGCAATCTTGCCTTCCTTGACCATTTGCAGGATCACGGCGGCAGCTTTCCTCGCCTTCTCCTGGCCCACCAGCCCTTGGGAGGATGCCCTGGGCTGTAGACTGTCTGCATCGACACCAAGTCCTCGAATGTGTGAATGAGCAGCGATGAGGTTGAGACCCCGGAGCTCCTTGGTCTCCGCGACGGTAGAAATTGGCTGTCGGAGAGTCAGCGGTGACAAACACCACGCAATTCTTCAAGATTGAAACTTACAGCAGCCATCGCGACAACTTGCAGATCGTAAGTATATCGTCAGGTCAGAAAACAGTCACGAGGTTCAAGGAAAGCAGCCAAAACTGGAGAGGTCTGGCCAGCCTGAGAGAGCGCGGAGTGGAAGAGCAGGCGAAAGAGCTGCTGGCCGGGAAGCCGCCTTGCAGGCCGCCCGGCAAAAAGAGCGATTGACCGTTTTTTCTGCCGGCGCGTGTTTTTTAAGCGCAAACGGGTTTGGTTTGATTGCGCCAGGAAATCTCCGTTTGTCCCCTCATTGACAGTTGCGCATTCACCTTTCGCTCACAGTATACATATAGAACAATAGGAGAATGATATGTGTCTGGACTCGGCCTGTCGACCTTCTCTATTCCCCCGTTGTCCCGCCAATGTCGCGGTTGCCATCGCGCCGTCTTCATTCCCACTCATTACGTTAATGTAGGCGTTTTTCCCTTTGGGGCTTGAATTCAATCAATCACATTTACCTTTTCTATCTATCTATCGTGTACTTGTCTTACCTCAAGCCCCTCCTCCCACCCCTTATTTATTTATTTTCCCCTCCTGGCTTCCTTCATCTACGTTACGCAAGGCACATGGGATGTTGTCAAATAATTGGATTTGATTGTCAGGCCAACTGAACTCTTGTGACGTCGTGATATGGATACAGACGCCGGTGCTACGCGTGACCCCCGTCTCGCCAGGCCCTTAGCCAGGCCGCCCCTGAACCGCCCTCCCTCTGTGGATGCTACTTCAAGCGCCTCCCCTACGCGCTTCAGACCCGGATCCCAGACGGTCGGAAGCTCCTCGCCCGTTGATGCCCAAAATGCTACTGCCGATCAATTTATACGTGGGATCTCCGACCTTGTCCAAGCCGCCGTGATTGCTGCCAACGGCAAATCCGAACAGGAGAGGCTTAAGAAGAAGAGAGATGCCACTGATGCCCTGCTTAGGAAAGCTAAAGTTCACTCTAGTTTTCCGTCCACTACAGCCTTTTTCCAGCAGTCCAAGGAGGAAGAGGACGCTGATCTGGCTCAGCTTGATAAATGCCTCGAGAAGCATGCCAACGACTACAGAGACCTGGAGAATGCTTTGAAAGCCAAATTTAGCTCGATCATGTCACTGGAGCCCCTAACCAGGGTCAATCAACTACAAAGTGAGGTACAACATGCGAAGAAGGATATCATAAGGCTGCATGACTACAACATCAACCTGGAGGGCAAGATGTCGGCAGTGCAGGATAAGGTCGGCTCATTCATTAGCCTGCAAGATAGGGTTAACTCGCTTGAGAAGGCTACCTCATATCACGCGAAACTTGCGAGAGAGAATGCTGAGCGTGTCACCAAAATAACCGCGGATGTGGAAACCACGTTGGCATCGAAGGAACAAGAAATCAACTCGGCCGCTTCCAAGACACAGATGGATGAGTTAAGGAAGCAGACCTCGGACTTGACCAGGCAGATCGAAGTCTTGCAGAAGTCTCAGCGTGAATGCTCCGATTATTTGAAAAAGATGAACAAGAGTATGGACGATCATCGCCGGCAACAGGACACCCGGAGCATGGAGAACACACGATCGTTGACATCGCTTACTGCACGCCTAACTTCGGTCGAAGAGAAGAATAACCGGCTCCCCTCCCCTGCTGTAGTAACTGCGCCTGAGCCTTCAGCCAAGTCTGAAGAACTGGCGTCCCGATTACAAAAGCTGGAAGGACAACTCTCGGGACAGCACGAGCGTCGCATTAAACAAATGGAAGATCAGCTTCAAGGACTGCAAACAATACAACAGATGAAAGACGACTTCCAATTCAAGGAAATCGAGGATCTCAAAAAGGTGTGGGAAAGAGGCGCCCAAGAATTCGAACAGATCAGGAGCGACTATGCCCGGGTCAGTGAGGAGCTGAAAGGCCTGAGCCAAGCTCAAGCAGTAGCAAACCCCGCTGAGGTTCAGGCGCATATTCAAGGGATTGCGTCCGGACTTATGAACATGCAAAATATGGTCGAAACTTTGAGAGTTGCATTACATTCCCTCGAAACTCGGTACAACAATCTATCTACGGATACCATTGTGAAACACATGGTGGTGGCTATGCAAGAGATGTACCCATCAACCGCGCAGCTGACAGAACAAATAAACCTCGTTAGAGCATGGTTTGAGCGGGATATTCCTCCATTGAAAGCAATAACGGAACGTCTGCACGTGCATCAGGTGAATTTGGTGGAACAGACACAGAAAGATATGGCTTTGAGAATGGAGGAAATCAATCGCCTGAGGAGCCAACAGACAAATCTCTCTCAGTCGCTCGCCCCGGTCTGGGAGCGACTTACCGCTCAAAACCAGAACCGTTGGCTCACCGCTGATGATCTGCGGCAAATGCAGAATGATCTGACATCTTTGGCGGCAAAGATTGATGAACATACGAACAAACTCGACGGATACGTGGAGTCGCGCGAGGCAAAGGATCAACTGCTCCACGACGACCTAACAACGGGCAGAAACAACCTGCACATGCAGCTCCACGCCATTGCCGAAAGGCAAACGGAACTTGAGAAATTATGTTCCGAATTCCAGAAGGCCAATGATCTACCGGATCAAGTCCGAGCCCTTGCCGCAAGACAGGAGGAGTTCATAAAGGGTTTCAGCAACTCGCAGAATGACGATTTGAGAGATCAAGTTAAGGAGCTAGCTGATAAGCAGGAAAACCTGACAAAAGGTCTCTCTGTATATCGGGAGGAGGGCCTGCAAGATCAGGTCAGGGCTCTGGCAGATGAACAGAAGAAGCTACTCGATAAATTCTCTGATTCTCAACAAGACAAGATACGGAGGCAAATCAAGTCTCTGATTGACGAACAAAAAACATTGGCTGGGAGACTCGTCAAAACCCAGGAGGAACACGATCAGCTTAAAGCCCTTGTCGAAGCTCAAGAAGACCTCGCAAAGAAACTTTGTGAGATCCAATCGAGCAATGAAGATGACTTGAAGGTGTTGAAAGCCTGTCCAGATGAGCTTAAAGCAGTACTTGACCGTGTTTGTCAACTTGAAGCGTCCACGCTCGAAAAATATCAGACTGTTGTGGAAGAACACAAACTACTGGAAGGCTCGACGTCAAAGAATCTTACAGGCCTAACTGAAAGGGTGGATGGCCTAATGAAACTGGTCGAGAGCAGCCAGCAACCTCCACAACTAGAAGCGCCCCCTCAGCAAGAAGACAATCCCGATGCAATGAAAGATGAGGATGAAGCCAACGATCAGGATTCTGAGGTCGCCAGGTTCATGAGCATGGCTGAAACAACCCCAGCACGTGCCCTAAAAGAAAGGAAGAGAAAACGGCCTATTACATCTAATAATGCATCCGACGAGGATCGTTCCAGCTTAAGTCGGCCCGAATCACCGACTTCCAATGCTGCAGGCTCTACTGCAGGAGGAGACGCCGGGCCATCAACCGACAGGAAAAGCAAGAAAAAGAAGGGAAAGAAGCGGAAATTACAAAAGAATAGAGGACCGCAGGCATCAGGCAACGTAATAACGATTGACTGAAGGGGAGTTGTAGGTGTATAAAGCTAAAGGTGACCCCCCTGGAGGGAGCAATTTGAAGCAATACACATCACGAGATTACGAATGTTATGAATCAGTCGTTAGTCTGAAGAAAGAAGAAGGAAAAGTTGGTTTCAATTCTGCTGGATATCCCCTTTGTCAATAATTCTTTTTCTTTATTTTCTCCTCCACTCTTTTGTGGTCCTGGGCGCCATAAGCCCAGACCTCTCTTACTTTCTTCTGTTCAATAGTCTTTTCTTTTTTTTTCTTTTCAAGGTCACGGGGGGTAGGGGGAGAAGGGACCTGCACATAAGCAAGAATGTACAAGTGGAGTCTGAGTCAGTTCTGTCTTGTCTGTCTATACATCCATCCATCAAACCAAGCATGACTGTAGCAATCAATCAAGGAGCCTCCTGAAGGAACTTCAGAACAGCTATTAAGCAAAAAGCACATACATCAGCAAATCATCCTACTCACTTAGGTAGATTAGAATCAAATACTACTACTCACCTTGCCTGAACCCTTCCGGATTCTCCGAAATCAACCAATGCCCGGCCTCCACATCCGCAACACGGGCGTTGGGGAAGAACTTCTTAATCGTCGGCACTGACTCATCGCTCACATATCTGCTCTTCGTGCCCCTCACAAACAGCGTAGGGCCCTCATACGAGACAGACCCCGGCTCCCGGTACGGGAAGTCAGCCATACCAGGGATGGCTTCGCCGAGGACGGCAAGCGGGACCCGGAATTTCATGGTTTGATCTTCTGTCGAACGGACCAAATTGGTAAGGAGGAATTGGCGGATGGGGAGGGACTATCATATATTAGTTTAGTGCATTGCTATGTGCACACATTGAGCTCGGTTTGCAATTTATGCACTACTCGGACTTACTTCCTCATATCCCTTGAGGATCTCATCAGCCTCAGACTGCTTCGTCACGTTAGCAGCCTCGACATGCTGCATGCCACGAACGTAGAGGCCGAAATCGCTTTTCAGGGGTGCATTCACGGGGGCGTTGTCAACCGGTACAAGAGCCGAGACTAACTTGGGTGAATCGAGGGCAACTGTCATGGCGGTTTTGGCGCCCCTGTTTGTTATTATCCATTAGTATAGCTGTCTGGTTGTGTTTGTCTTCATATGCATTCTGCAGGATGAGTGTGGACTATCAGAGGCATATGTAGTAGGATATGACGTACATCGAGTGGCCGATCAGAACGGCCTTGTCTAGCTTCAGCTGCTGGATGAACTTGATCACGTCTTCGGCCATGACGGAGTAGTTGTGTTCCTGGGCGTGGAAAGATTGGCCATGATTGCGGAGATCCTGAAAGAACAAACACAAATATGAATCACTGTTTTGATTCCAAATTTCTTCTTCTTCATAACTGGTTACACACCACAGTGAAGATCTCACGTTTCAGATCACGTGCCAGTGCTCTGCATGGTGGTTAGTAGCTTTCCTTGTCACTGGATGTTCGTCTTCTGAGGACAATTGATTGACAAAGAGAATGCTTACTTGCTAATACCCCGATTATTTTGCTTCGAGCCGAACAGTCCATGAAGGAAGATGATAGGACTCCGATCAATAACATCGGCTTTCTCGGGCCCAAACACCTGGTAGGACAGGTCTGTTCGGAGGCCTCGTGATGTGGAGAATAAGCGGGCGCCCTGGGCGGCGCTTCGAAAGGTCGTACGGATTGGTTGGAGCATGATTGTGAGTGGCGAGTATGATGGTGATGACGATGCTATCTGAGAACTGCGATTGATTTGAGGGTTTATCTTGAGTTTGGTGCATTTAAGCATTGAAGATCAGCAGCTGCCTTGGGGATATGACTAAGCAGCTGGCGAGGTGGTTTTGCCGTTGTCCCGTCGGCTTAATGGGATTGTCATGCAGCAATATCCGGATGTCTTGGCTTGACAGGGGTATATATGTCGGAGATGAATTATCATTTGCTTTTTGCTTTGGGGATGGTTTTGGTTTGTGCTACATTGTACTGCTGTTATTGCATTGATGATAGAGTGATTGTGCTTGTAGGTGCTTGGGTACTTGGATCTTATCTGATCTCGGGTCTCAAAATATATATCGATCAATTGCATCATCGCTCTCTACCGATTTGCCCAACTTCAATCACCAAACAATGATGAAGTTATGCTGGACCCCTCACTTCGGATATTAGTCGGAGTGTCTCGCTGCAACAGCGCACTTCCTACATACGCTTAGGCCTCTAAATGATCGTACGACGCGAAAACAGCCGGGAGATTGAACCCGGGACTTACGATCTGCGAACTGAGATGGTGAACACAGCTGATTTTGTTCTTCAGTCAGAACAACATTTGGCAGGAACCAATCTTCATACTGCACATGCCAGCTTTACTGCACTACTTCCAGGTCGCACCATTCTAGCTGAAGTTCACTGAAGTTTGTGAGACAGCCCCGTTGTCCCACAGATGTACTTGTCATGCCTAAATGCGCGCTCTAGGGTGGTTCTCCTTTTACTATTCAACACTCGAATCGTAAATCGTCTATTTCGGGAGCTTCTTCGAAGTAAATGTATATACAAGACATAGATATCGTCGTCATATCCACCATGATCTCCCCCGCTTATTCCTAAAATTGGTACACTGACACCTCATATTTAGGCGTCCAGAAGAGGAGGGACCTTCTCGCAAAGGTATTCAACAATGGCGTCCGGGCCGCGCTCGACCTGGAGACCCTCGGGGATAGCGTGCAGCTTGATGTCGGGCTTGATCGACCGGGCAATGGAGTGGATCTCGTTGGCCTGCTCGGCGGACCACATGGAGGCGCTGAACTGCAGAGAAAGTTAGACACGGGCCATCATAACCGTAGTCGCTTTACCCCGCATTGTACAGGAAGCTCATATGAAGAGAACATACCAGGACATCGGGCATGTGCTGTTTGACCTTGGACTCGACTTCCTCGATCTCTGTTCGCAAGCTCAGTTAGTATCAACCATCACTAAGTCCCGCAAAAGACTTCGAGGTCACAGGTACTTACTCTCGCAGTTGTCAATGTGGATGATGGTGTAACGGTCCGAAAGGGCCTCAGCAACCCGTCCGATGAGGCGCTTGGCTCTCTCGGGAGCGGTGTTGACAGTGACGAGCTTGAAGGGTCCCTTGGGAGCAGACATTGTGACAGGTTATGTGCAAAGTAGTTTTCTGAATGACTTGAAACAGACTCGACAACTGCGACACTGTTCGCTTTTAAACGGAGAGCATGCGATTTCGCAGTTCAACCGGCACGACAGGCCGCGGGCGACATCCCCACGTTGTCGTGGGGAAGTGGGCTGTTTAGCGTATTCGCCGCCGGCTTTCGCCCGAGGCTCGGAAATCGAAAGCGTTGAAGTCAAGTCCTGGAGGGGAGCAAGTGTTTGGTTCTTGCGAAGAAAGTCGAATGCGGACTGGCTGCTGAGAAACGGATCGGTTCCCACCGGCAAAGGCAGTTGAGGGATTGCCCCTCCCACTTTGCTTCCCCCCACCCCGCGCGCATTGAGCTTCCCGGCCGGCCACCAGAACTGCACCCCGCGACGATATCGGGGAAGAAATATCCCGTGAGCGTACTTCAAAAGAGAACATCGCCTCAATTGATCCCTGCTCCCTGACTTGCATTTCTATTGTTCATCAATTCCTCCTTCCTCTTCACAAACACTCATCATGTCCAAGGTCGCATCTACCTTCTCGCGTATGTGGACACGACCTTGCTTCTGCAGCTGTGTTGCTAACGCCATCTAGGCCTCGTGCGCTTCGTCCCCAAGTCGAACCCTTCTAAGGTTCTGATCGGTGAGCCCGTCGACGCCGCTGTAGATGTTGGATTGGCCGTCTACCAGGGCAAGGATGTCGCTGTGCGCCCTTTCTCCGGTAGCTCCGTCCTCAGCCCCGGCCAGAAGACCGACTCGACCGAGACCATTGAGCGCATTCTCTCGCCTCTGGCGCAGAGCGAAGTCGGCTCCATCAGATGCATTGGACTGAACGTAGGTTCAACATTGAATGAGCACGGCTGTCTAGCGGGTGCGCAAGAAACTGACCGATCGCGCAGTATGTCTCCCACGCCGCTGAGATGAAGCTGTCTATCCCCGATGTTCCCACTCTCTTCATGAAGCCCTCGACTGCCCTGTCGGACCCCTGGCCCGCCCCGACCGTTCTGCCCAAGCTCACCCAGATCGATAACACGGGTGACTATGAGTCGGAGATGGTCATTGTGATCGGTCGTGATGCGAAGGATGTCAGCGAGGCCGAGGCCCTCGACTACGTGCTCGGATATACCGCGGCCAACGATATCTCTAGCCGCACGTACCAGATGAACCAGAGCCAATGGTGCTTCTCCAAGGGCTTCGACACTTCTTGCCCGATCGGTATAGCTCACCTTTGTCACATAAGTGTTATTGCAATTCGTGCTGATGGATGAACTCTCGCAGGTCCCGTCCTCGTCTCCGCTGCTCAGGTTCCCGATGCCAGCAAGTTCCACATTCGTGGATCGAAGAACGGAAAGGTCCTTCAGGATTGCCCCTTGACGTATGTCCTCCATTTCTTAACATTCCAATTTTGTGTATCAAGAACAAAAGCTGACTAGCGACTCCGAACAGTGACCTGATCTTCAACGTGGCCCAGCTTGTCAGCTTCCTGTCCCAGGGCACCACCCTGCCTGCCGGTACTATCATCCTCACCGGTACTCCCCCCGGTGTTGGCGCCGCCAAGAACCCCAAGGAGTTCTTCAAGCACGGCGACGAGTTCGCCGTCGAGCTGCAGCCTCACGTCGGCACTCTCATCACGAAGATTGAGAACCAGGCATGAACACTATGATAATGGTACTATGAGACGGGTGGGGATTTACAAATTATGATGAGACATACTACTATACAACAACAGCATAGAGATGTATATACTGTACGGGTACCAATGAACGGGTTCATTGTTCCCATGTATAATTGCATGCGTAACTATAATGAAGCCAGGTGACAAGTCCTATGATGCAAGGAGTCATCACATTGTCGCCATAATCCTCCGAGAATGACAACAAACTCAATAGATGTGGGTGGTTTGCCTCCCACCCACATCCACACCCCACGCTGACTAAGATCCCCACAATCGGCCACTTTTCAAGCTTTTGCCCAGGACTCATGCATTTGCAGCTAGCTGCTGCAGGCCGGAAGTCACGACTGAAGCAAGGAGAAGAAGGCAGCTGACAAGGAGGAAAGAGTTAAGCCTGATCCCAGCACACCAAGTCTAGGTATGGACCTCAGGCACTAGACTACCAACCTTTTAAAGACCCAGAAAGCGTCCTGGAAGCAACAACAAAGATCCGTAAAATGTTCCACGTAGTCTTCCCCGTGTAACTCCTTACCCATCCCTTCACTACCATCACTGCATGGATGGATGGATAAACGAAACTCGTCCTCAAAATGTAAGCTTCTCAAAAACTGCACTACGAATTGCCGATTCACATACACAGAATCAGTCAACATCTGCAGGAAAGGATAAAATCTTATCCTAGCGGAGTAAATCAATTCCGCTACTACGCCTGCGTGACCAGTCCGAACCGGAGTTTGGTGGTTAACTTCCGGGAGTAACCTTGCATTGCTGGCTAGTCAGCAAGTACGTAGTAGTAGCTTGAGAAAGCCAAGTAATCGGGCCATGTGCTGAAATCTTCCTGACAGCTTGTAGATCAGTAAATGCTTAGATTTCTATGTCTATATTTTGCAATAATAAATTGTATCGAAGTGAACGAGTAATAAAAAATAAAGACATCCCGCCAATGCAATAAATCCCGTGCAAGCATCCCGGGAAAGGCGCAAGTAGCGAACCGGACGCCGTGAATCCTTCCCGATAGCAGCTAACATCGGCGGACATCGGGCCAGCCGATCGGGCCAGTAACTGCACAATGTAGGCGTGGTCTGACACTAGCAGCAACAACCACACCACTACGGGTGCTGTTCCTTTACATGCCCCCCTTCGCTTTGCCGATACTATCAAACCATAGTATCGGACGGGCCACTTTTTCGGGGGGAATCGCTTTGGCAGCGCTCGAATTGTAATTGCCGTGATCCATCGAATAGCTATCTACTAATGAAAAAGTTATGTCGAAATTTTCTCAATGTGGGTTTAGTTCCATTCCCATCCCTACCTCTTTTCGGAGTGAGTATATAACTACGGCGGGACCTGGGAGGGATAAACTCTTTATCCCCTGGGTTCTTTGGTTCCTTTTTCTTTTTTCCCTTTCGCTTGAGGTCTTTTCTTCTATACTTCTATACTAGACTATACTTCTGCTGATTATCTTTTCTTTTTGTTGTATTCAAGTCTTGTTCAACTTCGATCGAGGTTTCGGATTCATATATTGTGTCTTTGTTTGCTTCGCTGCTGTGCACGCTCATATCGTTATATGTCTATATGCATGCTCGCCATCTATATCTAACATCTAGAAGGTCTATGCTCGCCAAGGTCGTCTCCGAAAGCAACACGCCAAATCGACTCTGAGAAAAAATATATGCAAAGTTGGAATCGGATGAGGAACAACGCAAATGAGGATGGAAAGGGATTCGTGTCATCGGTTTACTCTTCAATGGGCGGACGCCAGCTCCGTCCTTGCCAGTGTACGATCATAGTCGGAATGATACTGACACCCGCAACAAGTGCCGCACAAATGCCAGCACTCGGTGCTACACCAACACTCTCAAACATGGATGGGAACCTAAACGACACCGATTAGCATTTGCCCATATGTGTCCAGCACAGAGATGCATCAGATACTTACCAGAACGGACCGAGGAATCCCCAAATTTGTCGGACAAACGTGATGTATACTCCGACACTGCCGGCTTCCTTGTGGTAACAATCCACTGCATACGTGACAAGAACAGTCGTTACGATTTGGTTGCCACCAGCGCAGATAGCAATGCCGACGACCGGCTTTACGTTCCAGTGACCCTCCGTCGACTCCTGGGTGCAGACAAGGAATACGATCAAGCCCACAATGCACAGGATGAAGCCGATGTAACTGAGCCACAGGCGGTATTCGGGTTCCGGCTTGCGGTGGATTTTCTTTGCACGCAGATTCATCCAGCGATCCGACAACACACCACCAAGCTGCTCACCCAAAAGAGATCCGATGATAGGACCTAGGAATTGGAGTCCCAGCTGTTCAGCATTCAGTTCAAACTTAGTTTGCAGCAAACTGGGGATCTCCACAGTTGTCATTACATTGCCCAGACAGAACACCATGGCGTATGCGGCAGTGGGAATGGCAATACAAGGATGTGTGACCATGCCCAGGGGTCTGAAGAACTCCTTGAACGACAAGGGTGTAGGGTCAATGCGTCGGAGCTGAGCATATTCCCGTACCCAAGCGGGTTGCTCGGGGTTATGGTCACCTCCAATATACCGGGTCTCAGGACCCAGGAAGAGATACAAGATAAACTGGACACCGTTGATCTGAATGTTGGAATTAGGTCAGCGGAAGACTCTTCGTTGGACCAGTAACCCGACCGGGGTTATGGGAACACTTACAATTGCCAGGATCCAGTAAATCCATTGGTAGCCCAGCCGATACGTAACGAAGCCAAAGATGAAGGGCCCGCTGGGGATTCCCAGCGTAATCAATAGCGTCCATATACCCATGTACCGAGCTCGGTCTTTCTTGAATGTCGTCTCCATCACCACCGCACTTCCGATCGCTTCCGCAGCCGTTAGCACACCTTGTCACGATGGGGGAAGCATTGCGTCTTACCTGAAGCAGGGGAGATGAAGAAAGCCTGCAGAGCCCGACATACAGCCGTGGACGCGTAACTAGTGCTTTCCGCACATCCTACGTTACAGACGAGACTGCAGATTAAGGAAAGGAGGAAGATAGGGCGACGTCCCCAGCGGTTGGACAGCGGTTTCCAGAAAATTGGTGCTACACCCAGGACTGCAATCTGGATGGAGGTCAAATAACTCGCGTCGTTCACCGAAACATCGAAATCAGTTGCAATTCTGGTCTTGTGGTCAGTATTATAAGGGCAATGCGAAGGCTCCAATTGAACCTACGTTTGGTAAGCCGGGATGATGCCTGCTGCCGCAAAAGTGCCCATGCACGCATGAAAAGCTACTAGGAGAAGATTTGCAATTTTCTAAAACGCGTCGGAAAAAACCCGTTAGCATGGCCGCTTCTTCACGAAACCTTTCAACACTCTGCAAAAAGATCCTTCAGCACCACATACCTTCCACGACGGCCAATTGTAAGGATCCGCAGGATCCATGCTGGGGATAGGATCGAGTTCCAACGTCCCATGACGTTCCATCAGATAGTCACGGTGTGCCTTGGAAAGTTCAGAAGACACGATATCGGCATATGTCGATGGGATGCCTGCTTCTGTGCTCTCTACAAAGTCGACATCTTCCTTTGCAGGTGTCTGAGACGGGTGCATCTCCATGGCCCCAGACATATTGTGAGAAGGAAAACCCTGAACTGGGGGCTTGTGGGACAATGAAAGTGGCGATTCTTTCTAAAAGCTCACGACACACTTGAGATATCCAAGAAATGCAAGATGTCTCAGGAGTCTAAAAAGGGGAACAGAAGAATAACAGAGAGGAGGAGGAGATGGAGAGAACCTATGTGATGCCTAAGAGGGAAGAGCCGTGCCTCCCTATGCAACTAATCGGTTCACACAAAATGTTCCTAACCGGGGGGAAGAGGGAGGGTTCCACGCTCACCGGGGGGTTGACCTATCACTGGGGGCACTGGTGGTACCCTTCCTGGGGGTTGATCAAACCTGGAAGTGACGAGTCCCGCGTACTGTTGGGGCAACTCGTGGGGAAGATGCGGAGGATTTCCTACGGCACAGTCCAGTCACGAAAGCAGCAATGGTCACTATGTTCTGTCATTGAGGATAGCGCAAGATCCGCTCATTGGCCGGACCAAGCCAGAGAGTGTATCGCCGCCAGAAGCAACATAACCGAGGGCCCGACTACGGATGACTCGGGAGATCCAGAATCCAGAATGGTTCTAGTAGCGACCCATTCGGCCATGGCGGCGGCGGGTTAAGTCTTTGGAGTGGATGCGTCCCTTCCGGGGAGGAGACATGGTAGACCAATGTTTTGCCTCCAAATCTCGGTTATTCCGCTGACCAGATTTGGGGCTAAGTTTGCCGAGTGAAACGGATTACAAAGTATTTGGCCAAGCAGCCGGCGTCAAGCGATATGCGGACGGTAACTGCTCGGGCAGATCTCCTTGTGTGATAATGAAATCACCGTGTGACCAGGACATGATTTTTTATGTCTGCCTGGGGAAGAGTGGAACTATCAAACACTAGTAGTTTTCTATGCCCTACAAACTTGCATCTGCTCTATGCAGATGTAAGGGGAGAGGGAAACAAAGGTGTGATCGATCAGTTTGTGGGAAAGGATGTTTAGGACGCGTCTAGTAGGGACTACAGTTGTGCTACTGCTAGTCAAGATCAGGTGGGTGCTAATTACCCACACCAAATACGTAGACACGGGGTCTGGAGTAGGAGCGAGGTTGAGTGGAGTTTAACGCCTTGGCCCTTGACTCCAGTCCGTCTTCCAGAGCCGCTAACAAGTGCCGGGGTGTGACACGTAAGGAACTTACAAGCTTCAGCGCTTCTATAAGGCAAATAACCCCGGCCGCCGTGTACCGATACGGTTATGTAACGTCCACGTGCCAAGAGCCAAGGCAACAGCGTTGCCACCACATTTTCTGCCCCACAACTCAGGCCGGCTTCTCCTCTCTATTGTTGACACAAAACCACCTGCTTAGTTCCCTCCTTCTCCACGATTTCCCCCCCTTTCGCCCCCAGCCTGTCCCAGCCTGTATCTTATTTGGCTTATTCCTCGTTATCACCACTATATCGTGGTGACTGGCTAGCTGGCTGGCCCTTGCTTCGACTATCTTGCTCGCTGGGTAACGTGGATGGGTTGTGTGTCATTATTAGTCGGAATCAATTTGATCTAGATCTATCTATTTTTATGGCTCCTTTAGTCGCCATGCCACAATCAACCACATCATCCCCTACCACCACCACATCAGCGGTCAAGACATTGATTTGCCGCGTTTGTCAAAAGGGCTTCTCTAAGGCAGAACATTTGAGGGTAACTTGCCCCTAGTGCCAATCCTATGGTGTGGAGACATCACTAATGCTGGCTTGTAGAGACATGAACGTTGTCGTAAGCATACCGCCATTGTTGATTTCCTTCCTGCTTGAGCAGACATGATCGCTACTGCATTCCGCCCTAGTAATTGTGGGAGGTCTTCCATGCAAGTCATGATGGCTAACTTGCCGCGCCTAAGATACGGGATCGAAGCCTTTCATCTGCAAAGAATGTCGGCGACCTTTTGCCCGCCAGGACGCTCTGACCCGGCATGAAAAGCTTCACACCCGCGCGGCCAACGCCAAACAGGCCCAAGTACAGCAATCTTCCGTACATGTTCCTCCGCAGACGACATCTTTGGATGCTCTGCCCTGGGATGCCAGCCGCGCCCCAGCACCACCCATAGTCTCTACCTCTGCATCTAATCAGGCATGGGAGACGTCCCAGGCTGAGCAACATCCGGGCCTGCAACATGCGGCTTCCGATCTTGATTTCGCCCTGATTTGGCCTGACTCAGAGAATCTTTTCCAAAGTATCATGTCATCCGATGCTACCGACCAATGGCAGATGCCATTAGGAGCTTTGCCCTTCCCACCAGTTGTACAAGATGTTAATGGGATGAACTTTGGGTCACCGAATTCGTTTGACGACAGAGGGTCGTCAATAGGTACAATTCCCTCAGGTGGAAGCCACCAGGCCGTGCGGGATGTTACCGAGATGGTGACAAGTTCGGTGGGTGTTCCCCAGCCCTCTTGGTCTTACTACCCATAACTGATTTTCTCCAAATCACTAGTCATCAAGTGTCACAGCTGCAATCAAAGCGACCTCGATAACATCAGTCTTCTTAGATGAATGTCTGCATATGTTCTTCGTGCGGTTCATTCCCACGTTCCCGGTTCTACACCGAGCAATTTTCGTTTTCCGCGAGTGTACACATCCTCTTCTTCTCAATGCTATGGCATTGGGGTCGTTATACTTGGGTCCGAAAGATTCTGTAGCTAAGGGGGAGGCTTTATGGCGCTTGGCACATACTGCTATAGCAACCTCTGTAAGTATCGTAGACGCCTGCACTGATATTCTTGTGCTTACATTTATCTAGTGGCAATCATTGATCACCCATCGAGGGCCTTACGATGTCTGCAAAGGAGTACAGCTCCTCATTACCGCTCTGCTTGGCCAAATATACGGTGCTTTGTCTAAGGTGAATCAAAGTCGCAAGATTCACTTCTACCACAAATACTAACGAGTTACCTTTCATAGAACCGGGTTATCCGTACGACGAGTCAGGTCTTCCGCCCACTTGGCTTCCTATGGGCAAGACACTGTGGGATGCTGGATGCCGACCCTTTTCCCATGGAGAATGTGCCTTTCCCAAACTCGCCCAGCACAGAAAAGGAGTACAAATGGCGTACATGGGCAGCTCGAGAGATTCAACAACGCGCGTTACTAGCGTATCATATATTAGATGGCCTCGTCGCGCAGATGTCTGGTGACAGTGCATCTACTCGGCATGTAGCCAACCCTCTGCATCTCCCCAGCAGCGAAGCTGCCTTCGATGCCGGCAATGTCGACGAATGGATCGCTATCATGCGTACGCAGAAGGTGGAACAACCATCCTTCCGGTTGGTGTTCCGCTCCCTCTTTCCTCCCATCGGAAGCTTTCGACCTCTAGACTTCCAATTTTCTGCCTTTGCATTACGTGTTGTCCTAGAAGGCCTACAGTCTCTTGTGTCGGATTCGGATGAAAGCGATCTTGCTGCCGTCGGGGTTCCCGGCCGTTCTGATGTCCGGAGAGCATTGGCTCAAGTACATGAAACTATAACCATGAGTATTCATCTCTCTGCACCGGAGCGTCTTGAGGTTCTTCTGCGTTGGCATACGATATGTCTCGACACCATGATCAACTCTACAGTACTCTGCAGACATGTTTGTTCCCGATATGACATTACGCAACACGTTTCCGGAGGCTCCCGGACCATCAAGCCAGGATTCGACATGGCCAAATGGGTCAATACTGAAGATGCTCGTCGTGCTTTGCTGCACGCTATTGCCATACAAGATATTGTCGAACAACTCCCGAGAGGCAGGGCCCATGTTATCCACATGCCAAGCTCTTTGTTCTCGGCCACAACAATATACGTTGTCTTCTCTCTTGCTGGTGTGGCGAATATTCATCTTCCACGCACGATTGTCTGGCAGGACGCCCTGCTTTCGCGCGCTGATCTGAACCTCGGGTGCGAGAACATTCGCCCCTCGACTGGTTCTGAAACACGGCGTTTTGTCGAGGAGGGACGAACAGACTCTCCCCCTGGCATGGGAGCGGTGCGTAATCTGTTGTATGAGATGAACTCGTTGCAGAAGCTGTTCCGCTGCATGTTCTCACAGTGGGGCATTGCGCATGACATGGAGGAGATTATTGACCAGTGGATTACTCTCTGCCATTAGGTGGTATTAGTTTCGTATGTACAGCGTGGTGTTTTCCTGTCTAGCATTTTTGGCGTCAGGTCCTGGTGACCTTTTGGTTATACGGCTACATAGAGGTTTGGTTTGTGACTTAGGTCGTTTATAGACAACCGAGGGCTTTACGTAGGAAGGAGCCTGGCCATCGGGGCCCAACCTTCCCTTGAAGACAACAGTATTTCCACTAGAACTGTGCATATAAGACCTAGTCAGTCGGACAATAACCGTGTAAGATTGTGCCACAAACCGTAGTTACCTGCTCTGCCTGGCAGTCCGTCCCCATCACCCACATCCCCCATCGCTTGCCGCTGCCGTCCCCACGTCGACTCCCCACAGCCCGACTTCCTCTCTCAACTGCACCTTCCACACAACTTCTTTCTTGCAGGACCAGTCTCCCCTCTCTCCACAATCCCAGGTTCCAAAGATCTCTGGCTAATGATCGACGCTTTCAGATTGTCAATGCTACGTTGCGAATCTGTTCTCCATGTCTCCCCATGGGGGATATGCACTCCACGGTGCCACAATTGAGAAGTGGCACGATGCTGCTTAGAGCCTTAGACTAAGAAGCTCAGACGCTAGTAGTGAGCGGTCCGGTCCACTTCTCTCAGCACCGCTTCGGTGCAGTAACCAAGTCAAGTAAGTTTGTTTCAGTCTGATGCCAGGATCCTTGCTAGGTTACTGCGTATGCCTTCCCTCTCATTTCTCCCATGTCTTCTCTCAAGTCAGTCAAAATGTGGAGATTTTTCTTGTGTTACCCCTCAAATCCACGCAATATACTTCATATCGCCCGAGCCTTACTTAGTCTGTGCAAACTATGATACTAGTACGGACTTCTTCGCAAAATTCAGAGACTATTCGTTTCACATTACCGATTGGCTTGCACACAAATCCCCAGAATTCTCTGCGACTCTTTGGCTTCTTGGCCAGAGCCCTTGGGGTCTTGGAGCGTTGATCGACGGCACACCATACAAGCAAGTGTATGATATGACATCTCACCTGTGCAATCCCGCCAATGCATGCTTTCCGGACGGGCAAGGCTGCAGACACGTTTCGTTCTGGTGCAGGGGTATGTTTCCCCTCACCACAACGGAGAATGGCCCGTACGCCGTCGACAAAGGAGCCAAAAATCCACATATCAAATGGCGCAGACGGACAGGATACGACACACCACGTTTCTCGTGCCCAGAACAGTGTTGCTCCTAGACCATATTTATGGTATCTTTCGGGACAGCTACAGTCAGACTGACATTCGGTGAACTCGCGATCCCCAGTGAAGCTCGCGTGGTCTTTTGTACGTGCTGTCAATTTGTATAGCTCCCTAGTTGTAGACTGTCTAAATAGTGTATCGTGCCAAATTCGAGGATGCCAGTGTTCGGGCAGAGGGGTAGCAGATGTTTGATTGACTTGTCCGCGCAACAGGTCAAGGTGTGCATTGGCACCCCACACGTATGATGCCAGGGCTAAGTATCCCGCAGCGTAGATAATATCGTCGTAAGAATCGGACCTCGAATCCGGGAGCTGGTTTAATGGCTGGCGATCATAACTGCATACGCCGTACAGTGCATCCTCTTGGAGTGCCCGGGCGTGGCCCAGAGTATCAAATGCACATGCCGAATCAATGGCATACTCATGAATTTCGGTTGAGTATCGGGTGAGATAGAGCCTGTCAGCATCTGGAGATCTGACTGCTGCTTTCATTGGATACCAGAAGCCGTCGGCCAGCCGTTCACGTAGGTATGCCTCAAACGAAGCTCCCTTCGTTTGTCGGACTGGTCGGTCTTTGCGGGCTCTTGTTAGCAAAACACTGTCGAGAGCAGGCCCCGCCCAAGGCGCAAAAGGCTTGGAGCTTCAATCATAAGTTTCGCCAACAGCTTCTTGATCGAATTGCGACTGTAACTCATGTATCATGATCCAGCGCAGTATCGGGCCGCTAGACCAGTGGCCTGGCCTGGCCCTGTCATAACTGAGCAGGCATAAGAACATCGCGATACCCTTGACATAAGACCTTAGATCTTCGTACCCAGTTGGGAGCTCCACCCCTGGAGAATCACAGAGTGACGTCAAACCTTTGCGGAATGAGCTGTTCAAGTCTCCTTCAACACCAGCAAGCATATCAAATGCTTTATTAGGCATCATGCCATGGCACCACTTGAGAGTGCGCTGCCGGCATAGCCCCGGGCATTCCATGGCGAGGTCCCGGGTAATGGCGTTTTGACTGGTTGACAGCAAGTACTGCCTTGAAACACACCCACAAGCCGCAACCAACGATAGTGCTATTAGCTCCCGATCTTCGCTGGAACTCAGAAGCCAAGCTCGGAACATGAAAATGACACCAGTCTTGATACAAGCTGCACAGCCGCCCTCTGTACCATGATGGAGTAAGGTATGCCCCAAAACCGCCGCCTGGTTCAACTCATGGACATCTTCCCTGCCCCAGAGCTCACCCCCACAGGAGCATACAGCATACGCAGGCAGACCAGTCCCTTTACTGCGGTAGCGATGTTTCCTCTTGCAAGTATCATTCGGAAGGGACGCCAGATAGGCGTCTTGTAGCCCAGCACACTCGTCTCGAGAGAGCAGTGAGAGGAGTCGTCTTCGGTATGTCTTCTCTTTGAACACTTTTGTGTAGGCATTTCTACACTCGGTGGGATTAATCGTTGAATTCAGAGTGGACAATCATAGGAGGTTAGACGTTATTCTCGAATTTGCTTGATAGTATAGACAAATATTGCGGGTACTGGAGAGTGCCTACTCTCAGCCAAGCCATCCAGACTGAACTATATACCCGATGTCCAAAATCTGGATGGATACCACAGTCCTTCAATTATTCCAACTTGTCAGATCGATGCACGATGGCGTGTCATCTCTGTGTTCCATCTGACAACATGTTTCGATATCCCTTATCTGTAAAGGATCTCGCGTAACACGCCAAGTACCCTCTCATGGTCAAGTACATTGACGAAAAGGGTGCAATACTAACAACAAGAGAAGAAGAAAGAAAGAAAGAAAGAAAAACCCCGAAGATAAAGATATCGTTGATGTTTATAAATATAAGCGAATATGAATAACCCCTAAAAAGAAGCCAAACAGAACTAAGTCAAACAACTTAACAGACACTCCATCCCAGCACATGCCCTGATGTTACACGCCTGCATACTAATCATCTATAAGGGCCTACCTTATCCACAAAACCCACCTACTGATGCACTCCTCTAGTCTGATCCACTTCAGTAGAGGTAATATAATACCTACGTGTAAGGCCCTGCCATCACGCCACCTCTCAAATGCATATATTGATTAATAACGGTGTAATTGAATGTGTTGTTTGTGGGGATACTGCTACAAGTGACGATGCTCTGATATTATATAGATCTACTTGCATAAAGAGATGTCAATCGATCGATGGAAATTAATATAGCAGTGCATACAGTAAGGGAGGATGGGGCGACCAAGATCACCGAAACTGGTATGAGGTTTGGACCTATTGAGGGAAGCTATAAAGGAAGAGGTGAAGGAAGGAATATTATTGCAGCTACTACACGCAGCAGCAGTCCTGCATGAGGTCGTGGCGGAAGTGGCAGTCGGGGTATTCGGGGGGAAGACATTTTCGGGGTTGGTGCTAACCACACCTTGCAGACTGATATACAGAACGGGTCAGCTGGAATGAAGGGCACGTCATTAAGTACTAGATGTCGAAGGTCGTTATTGGGTGTTGTAGTGAAGCATATATTAATGGTTGTAAATTTATATATGAAATCAAGTTTTGTCCATTCTATTCATCCTATGCATGCCATATGTGCAATTAATAACAAAGATGCAAATATGCTCACTCCAGTGATGTAAACCAAACAATAAACCGACGTAAAGACATGAAATCCGGGCTCCAAATGCAAAGGGTATCTCTAGGGCAATCAGCTGCTCATGAGAACAAAGAAGATATGAGTAACAACGATGCAAATGAGGCAAAATGAACATTCCAGGTCACACAAACAACGAGCAAACTCAGAACATGAAACAAAACCACCCATTAGGATCATGCGTAAAATCAATATGCAACGAAAGACTCGCTAAATGCTGAATATGTGTTTGGATCAGTTCGGTAACTGATCTTGAACTGCAGGTTCGTCCATTCGGACCAACGCCTTTGCAACCGCCACTCCGACATCTTTGAAAAGATCGCGCATTATGGCCTCGCAGCTCCCAGGGGCGTCCTGCTGTTTGGCACCCTGGGCCCGGAACCGAGCAGATAGCCGGTCAATCAGTTTGCCGAAGGTGCTTTCAAAGTAGGATTCGACAAGCTTCCTTTTCAGGTGGGCGTTGTCGGCGTGTTCCTCGGCATAAGGACTGCCGGAAGGATGGCTCCCAGGGTCTACACGGATACGTTGGGCAGGACGCTCAGCGAAGGAATCATCTAGCTCGCGAGGTCTTTTGGTCCCTTGTAAGGGATCGTGCAGTGCAAGAGAGGGCTGATGAGGTTGGGGCAGATAGGCCAGAGCCGGGTCCGTCAGGCCATCACCACCAAACTCAAGCTGCTCTTCGCCATTTTTGGTTTTCTGAAAAACCAATCGACGCTCCCGCCGGACTTTGGAGCGAGACATCCAGTCCGCCAGAGGATCGACATACCCCGTCCATGTTCTCATGGCTTCCATGTCCTCCAACGGCGGGAGACTCTTCAACCAGACCAGAACCCGCTCGATTTTCGTCGAGATCTGTACCAACCCCTGCTCGGGCACCATCCGAACGGGCTCGGGGATTTGAGGGGGTTGAGGTTCTACTCTGGTGGGTAGTGCAACAGACGCCCCCAGCGGAGCTTTGGCTGTCACATCCCGAGGTGTGTTGTATTTAACCAACCATGAAGTCAGTAGGTCCCAGACTTCAGTATCAATGTCTACACCCGGATACGGATCACCGTTCGCATACGCCTCCCAGTGGGCCTTTCGTTTCGAGATGTAGGTCTGAATACGGCGGCGGCATGACTGCCAGGAATAGCGACGGCCGGTTTGCAATTCAAGTTTGTTGGAGATCTTGATCCAGAAGGATTTCGGATGGTTGTGAGCATCGTCATCGTTCATGGACGCCGCGCACAAATTGACCAGGCAAACCTGCTCGGGGACGCTGAGTTGTCTCCCGCGGCCGGCGAAAGGAAGGGACTCTATCGGGGTGGATTTATCCAACGAGGCCGAGGGCTTGATAATGCCAACGGCGGCTGCTTTGGAAGCAGTGGTAGAGGGGTTGTTCGGAGACTGCGGTGTGGTACCCCATTGATCATGATCGGACCGCATGGGGTTGGGAGTGAGAAGGGCGGTGGTAGCAGGGTGGTTCATGGCTCAATGGGCGGCGGGGTTAGGAGTGCCGAGTGCCGGGTGCCGGATCCTCGTGGAGATGAACGAAGAAGCCAGCAGCGCCCAGAGAGACCTCTCGTGGAAGAAAAAGGAGAAGGAGAGGGAGAGGGAGAGGAGAAGATATAGAAGGGAGAGAGGGAGTGAGGATGAAGATGAAGATGCGGGCGAAAAAAGAGGCAAAAACCGAAATAGGGAACCGGAAGGAGGAAGAGCGAAAGGCAAAATGATTAAGGCGACGCCCGCACCGCGTCCGCGTCAGCCCACGTGATCGGCAGTTGGGTACAAACGATTCCCTGATCCATCGCATGATGCCGGTCGGGTTTTGCCCCCTTGAGCCCACATTTTCATCTTATATCAGTCGAGAGGAAGTAGTCTGGGTTTAAATGCTTCTATACAGGCAATTGCACAAGATGTTTTATTACTCCCGACTCAAAAAAGATGGGGACAAAAGAAGAAAAAAAAGGAGAAGCACCAAAATGGTTTAAGCCGACGGAGTACTTTGGTCGGTCGGCGTATCATATTACCGCATCGGGAGATCGCCTCGTGATCTGCTTCTTGAGTCCATTTTGGGGGGAAAGAGAAAAGTAAAATAATAAAAAAGAAAAATAAAATGATAAGGCGAGTTTCAAATGGCATCTCCATCCCCCAACTCACGCTCTCCCCTTCTACCTCTTCCCCTCTTTCGCCTTCACACTTTACACTTCAACCTCGGCTTGTCTCACTCTCTAACCAACCACTTAGTGCCTCTCCGCACTGATCTCCATCGGAAGGGTTATCCGCCCGTTCCCGCTCGACGGATCCGTTCAGCCGACGCGCTCCTCATGCATTCATTCCACTCATCGTGTTGAGCTATGAGCTATATGAGCTATGCTGGGCTGCCCTGGATTGCTTCGGCTCCGGCGGGCTGATCCTTCTTTCGCTACCCCCCCTGCTATGGATAGGCTAGTGTTTAGCTCCCGGGAAATCAATTATTGAGGTTCGAACTTCAGCCGATGATCTTCGTTAGTGCGTTGCGCGAACCCATGGCTGCCTCTCCGCCATGGGCCGTGATTTGTCAAATCCGCGTGCGGTTAAGGTGGTACATCTGGGACATGTGAACTTACCGTGAGTGCTTCGTCCATGTCATTCGCCCTGTGGGGTAATCCAGACTCTTCTGATCCCTTACGTGGAGCAACGTTCAGGTCAAAAAGGACCTCCCACCCCTCGTGCCTGTCCTCGCAAGCCAAGCATTGGAATTCTCCTCAAATCCCCTATCCCCCTGATCACTCTCCGACCAAACAATCTCTCTTTATATACTACTAGGCGACTATACGTGCAGGCGAGCAAGGATGTCATCACAAGTTCGACCCAACCTGCTGGATGTGGTTTCCTCTTTGTCCTCCGTCCCGGGGACGCGGAACCAATATGCCGTGAAGATTACACGGGACTGGTGTACCCAACAGTACGTCCGTTTGACAGCTGCATCCTTGCTCCATCACTCGACGGGCTGAGTTGACCAGAGCAGCTCTGTCCTTGGGGGGTTTTCTACTGCGATTATGCTGGCCGCCGGTCAAAGGTTCCTCGACCAGGAACTTGGCGTAGGCCGGTATCCCGACCCCGTTCATGCGTTCGTCCAGTTTTTACACATGGTTCACCCTGGCCCGTCGATTATTACTTGCACACTTTTACGAGTGTCCAAGAAACAATCCGTTCTACAAGTTGAACTCGCGCGTGCCCCTAAGCCGGGAGAGGACTCCGACTCTTACCCAACTACAACTCTCGGTATCTTCACATACGGCGATATTAGCAAAGAAAAGGGCCTTACGCAAGAAACGCGGCCGGTCATCACTCGACCACCCCCTGATCGGCTCACTGAATGCGTTACTATCGACGACCCCGTTGTCAGTTCCACCCCTGTGACCGCGAAGATGAACTGGGTCGCCCCACGATCTCCACAGGGACTCTGGGGCCACCGCCTCGGCGGCCACAACCGCGAGGTCTGGCTGTCCTTCCGCGACGGCTCCAAACTATCTGACGTGTTACATCTGGCGTATCTTTCCGACTTGGTAAGTTGCGGTTCATCCCAACGTTCTTCTAGTTGTAGCTAATACGCCGCGTGCAATAAGCCCCTGCAGCCACCAGCAACCCATATTCCGGACTTCTACGCTAAATATGCGATCTCCACCCTGTGTCTGTCGATCGAGTTCAAAAGGCGGCCCGACCCGTCCACTGACTGGATCATGGTCCGCTCCAACTCCAACAAGGTCTCCAATGGCCGGTATGATGCTGCTTTGCAACTATTAGATGAGAGGGGGGATCTTCTCGCCTTGAGCAATCATGTTGTGTTTACCTCAGACTTGAAGCCGAGGCCGGCTCGGCTGTGAGTGGGGCTGTGGATCTTAGTATTTGAGCTTAGCGTTAGTCATTTGTCACTGCAGTATGCGCTGATATAATTAAAAGCGAGGTGTTTTATCAAGAACATCAATCTGTAGTTACAAGCATGCATTACCAGCAGCACAATGGATAATTTCCCGCTATGATTCTCCGAGGGGCAGGGCAGGGCACTCTGGATGGAAGCAATCATGCGATCAGCGAATGTACTCGAGGGGGGGGAGTTAGGCATCCTTCTTCATTATGTACAATTCAGTCATACTGCTGGCTATGGGGCATCAGATCACGACTATATATAAACGATAGTCTGAGATTTCTGGAAAAACCCCAGTTCTGCTCCGGTACGAGGACATGATCATGATGCTTAGTACTTAGTAGTGGACCACATACTCTAACCACCACTGCAAATGTATATTAGTAGCAGTAGTATTCAACTACTAGTAGTAGTATCGAAGGTTAAGATAGACTTCCATGATACTACGAAATGAGTGCTTTATCTCCCAAATGTTCGAGTTGAAATATAGAACAAAATAGTATACTATTTAAATCTCCTTTAAGTGAAGAAGTGACCGAGCGTAATAAACATTAATATCGTTTGCGTGCGTTGAAATGACTGAAGATAGGCCAGGTATGGTGGTAACTACAGGGAGAGTGAGATGTAGTATATGACATAGATAGTAGAAGAGTACAGGGAACGCCTTTCCAGTAAAGAAAAAAAAAAAAAAAAAAACCTAGAACCGAAACCAAGGAAAGCTAGACGGACTATGCAATGTAGAATCAGATCGACTTCTTCCAGAAACGAGAGATAAAGCAGCATTGTTCTGATCTCGGTTCTCATGCAACTTCACTCCATGGATCGTCCATCTCGTAGGCTGAGCTACTATTATGGGCGAACCCGCCTATACTGGATATGCCGAGAGTAGTGTCATTGTTACTCTTTCTATTGCTGAAGACGCTTGATGTTGATGGAGTAGAATTCGTACCGTTAACGGGCGTATCCTCGAATTCCGGCAAGCGATTTTGCTCACGTTCGCGTTTGACAGTTGAGCTAGTAATCCCATTGCTCACGCTGAAATTAGGATAAGAAGGAAAGCTCGATGTCGATACATAAAACCCCTCGACTTTGCCCGTTGTATGTGCCGGAGGCGAAGGAGGCATTTCAATGATCTCGACATCACTTTCGTCGGAAGCAGGACCTGCCATTGTTGAGATTTGCGCAGACCTGGACTCCGCTTTGAGCGGAGGCTTCATATCGGCCCTTCCATCGTCGAGCATGTCATCTTCTAGAGAGATTGCATCCATAATAGACTGTCCGGCTTTGCTTGAACCGGCTCCGCTTCGGGTTGGTGTTATCAAGTTGGCGGGTGTTCTGGAAGCGGGTCTCTTTCGAGATGAGGATGAGGAGACAGGCTTCTGGATCCCGTTGCGGCCCATACGGGGTGTTCGTGGAGCAGGAGAGGCAATACTGCCGATAGTGGATTTTCGGGCCTTCGCAACGGGGAGATCGGTGACTCCCCGTTCTATGGCTTCCTGTCGGAGTTGATCGGCGAATGAGTGGACTTTTCGGAAGCGGTTTTGAATTGCGTCGTATGTTGCTCCCTGTCCGAAGTAGGTGGCTATGGCATTGTAGTCGAGCTTGCTGGTATGTTAGTGGGATAAAGCCATGGGGAATGAAACTGCCGTACCTTTAGACTCGGATGGGCTACGACGAGCGCCGCACAGAGACGGTCGGCTGACTCGGGTTGTTTCCAATTGACCATTGTGCTTTTGATGTTTTGCGTGGGATGCCGATTGCAAATGTTCAGAGATGAGCAAGTGCGAGATGATTAGGTTAGAGCCTCCTGTCCATTGAAGTAAAAGAAGTCTTGGTAGTATCATGCCAGAGATGGTGTGGAGGTAACACAAAGATCGAGTCTCCAGATGCTCAGTGAATGTCAAGGCATGATGGCTAGCCAGTCTTGGGACCACAGATGTGACCGCCAGTCAAACAGACGGCCGGGCGACAGGTCAGAATGTTGGTCTGGGGACTACCCAGAGACTGAGATTTAGTGACATGACTTTTATTGAGCTGACAGGCTAAACCCCGCAGACTCAAGAGAAGGGGAAGTACCTCTCTCTCATTTTCTGTGGAAGACTGTGTACTGCTACACTGAATCTGTGGGAAGGGAAGAGAGTGTGCTGGGTCCAGCCGAAAAGGTACCTGTCCACTGCCCACAGAGTTGACGTGTAGATTCCACCAGAGGAGAAGAAAGGCCGACTGGCTGCACAGAATCCCCACAACAGCACCAGATCCGATCAGTCATCTGGGGACAGTAGACAGAACAGATTCACTCTGAAACAAGTCTGCATCCACCCCACGGCTGAGTTCGGGGAAGTCTTGTTGCAGCATCCGCTGCAGCCAGAGACAAAAGCCAAGTGGATAAGATAAGCACATGCAGGAACATCCACCCTCCGATGACAGGGATCGTCTGTTGAGACTAAGATGGGATCTGCATCACCGATTCCAGCATATCTACAGAGTACTAAGTGAGGTGAAGTGCGCAGAATACACTGCATAGTATCCGACTGCTACCGGCGCTGAAGAAATCAGAGGCGTCTCTACAGTAGACAGCAAGTAATACATGAATAATAAGATAACTGGTCAACGTCGCTTGGAAATCGGCAGTCACTGTGTGAACCACAGCTATTCACTATAGAATAGTGAACACAGGAGAAAATGTATTGTCACATACCCTGAGCTGCTTTCCACTCCTTCCATTTCTTGTAGTCTGTTCTGGTCTCTCGTCGAGTTCTTCTTCTCCTCTTAACCTTTCTCTTTCTTACATACTCGCTCTGCTTTTGTGATTAAGTCTCTACTACAAATTCTTCTTTATTCTACTTCGTCAAAAAATATTACAGCTTCTCTATACATACATAGAAAACCTTATCTGCACGAGGAAGAAACAACCATGAAGTGGACTCCTGAGAAAGATCAGCTTGTAAGTCTACTCCTCTTTCCCCTCTTCCTATCCAACACACAACCTACACCATCTTTATTATTCCCCTACCTACTCTATCTACTTTACTTACTCTACCCACTCTACCCCCCTCACACCACATCGCATCGTCCTCCCCACCAACAAACAAACAACTCACCCACCAATCCAGCTCCTCCTCAAAATCCTCGAAACCCACTCCCTTTCAGTCGACGCCAAACGCGTGGCCGAAGCATGGCGTAAGTCTATTCCCCCACCTTCTTTTCCACTACTTACCCCAATCCAACCAACCAAACCCAGACTAACCACCTCAAACCAGCTAAATCCCTCGGTCCAGACATGCCCACCCCCCGCGCCATCTCCGAGCGTCTCGTTCGCATGCGAAACACCGCTCGCGAGTCCAGCGGCATGGAAGGGCACTTTTCCATCGGAAAGGGGCTCAAGACCGGGAGTCCAATGACCAAGTCTACTACTAGTGCCGCTTCCAGCCCTGCTTCTGTCTCTACTCCTCACAAGTTGCGAGTCAGTAATGCCAGAAAGGGGTCGGGTTTGAAGCGGAAGCGCGACGACGATGATGATGATGATGAAGTTGAGGATGGAGATGTGCGGCAGTATACGCCTACCCCTGCTAAGATGAAGGTGGAAGGAGGTAGTGATACTGAAATTGAGAATGGGATGGAGACCCCTACCAAGACCATGAAGGGGAAGGGTGTGAGCGCGAGGTCCTCTGCTCAGGTGAAGAAGGAGGTGGTTGACTTGGAGAGCGAGGCGGAGGTTGCTCCTGTGAAGCGTGTTCGTAAGGCCAGTGCGCTTGCGCCTGGAATGGTGGAGTGGAAGGACGAGGATGATGAAGGAGAGGGGGAGAGCTCGGCTAGCGAGTATGTGCCTGAGGTGGAGGCTAAGGGGGAGGGAGTTTACAGTGCTGAGGAGTTTGATGATGGCGACTTGTATGATGCTTAGGTTTGCAGGGTCGTTTTACGGGGGTTGCTGATAACTTGAAGATCTGGTGGATGAACTGGACGGTGGATTATGAAGTTATGATGATTCTGCTTTAATAATATGTACTTTACTTACTCCAGCACAAGTGAAATGTACTCCAACACCAGTGAAATCTGCAAATGAAGATCCCTAGCTCAATTTCAATAGATCGGATACCACTTATCCTAAGCTACAATCACCACCCAACCCAATTCCCTTTCCATCCTAAGCAAGCATCCACCAAATAAAAAGAAAAACAAATAACCACCATCCATCAAACGAGCCAGTTACACAACCATCAACCTCCCCAAATCACCCAATCCATTCCCTCAACCACAAGCCATCTTAAAATCAAGAAGCCACAAAGGAAGCGAGAACCCAACCCCTGGCATCAAGCATCCTCCTCCTCTTCACCCTTAACAACCGGACTCTCCTGCACCTCCTCACCAACCCCACCCTCCTCAGCCCCAGGAGTCTCCGCAACACCAAGCTCAGAAAGCACCTCCTCCCCATCATCATCACTAACCTCCTCCTTCTTAACAACCGCAGCAGTAGCAGCAGTAGCACTACCATCAGCCTTCTTAGCCCGCTTAGCCTTCGGCTTCTTAGCAGCACCAGCAGCCACGACAGTAGGAGAAGTACTAGCTTCACCACCCCCAGCAACGGGGTTCTTGCGGGGTCGACCACGCTTTCTCTTCTCGGGAGTAGCGGGGGTGGGAGTAGTGGGTGTCTCGTTTCCCGGGGAAGTCATGGTAGTAGTAGCAGTAGTGGCCGGGGACGAAGCAGTACCCGAGGTAGAAACTTTGTCCTTGAGACGCTGGATGCGGTGTTGGACGGCGGAGACGGTGCAGCCTAGGGTATGTGTGTTAGTATAGTCAGATGGTTTTGGGAAAGAGGGGGAAAGACATACCGGGACCCATGAATTTGGCCAAGGCGTGCATGTCCAATTTCACGTTCGTGGTGGTTAAGATGCCGACTAGGAGCTGGGTTAGGATGAGATGTGTTAGTTTGTCTTTGGTTGGATTTGGGGAAGAGAGAGAGGAGAGTGGACGTACTTTTGCGTCTGTGACTTCATTCCAAGTCATGGGCATTTTGGCGGTTTAAAATTTGGTAGTCTTTGGGATTTGTTGTAGTGTGGGAAGAAGGTAGATGGAGAGAGGAGAGTTGTGGTTGAGTTGGAGTAGGGACGGATGGGAAGAGTTGAAGTAAGATGGAGAGAGAGGTTGCAGTTGAAGAGGCGAGGAAGGGGAAAGTAAGAAAAGATGAACAAGGGGATGGAGAGAGCCGAGGGAGTGTTCTACTTCAGGAGGGTTGTGGGTTGAGGTGGGGGTAAGGAAATCTGATTTTGATGGTTACATTCACTTGGAATATCACCAGTGTTAGGACTAAATTTTTACGCTTGGGTTTGGAGATGGATTTACTTTGAGGGTTGTGGGAGGTTTGGGTTGCAGTGCATTTATTTGATTGTGTCTGGCTTGGATATCATTATATGAACACTGGTTGAGCCATGGCGCGGTGGTATCATGAAAACATAACAAGTAATAAAGTGAGAAAGGCACAAAATATAATGATATCTCAGCGTGCCTTTTCGAAAATGAATTTGTTGTATTCCGCCGGATGATAGGATGAGAAATAGTCGTTATATCGCAGCTCCTCCCGGCTCTTCTGAGCTGTCTTCAAGTCGTCAAACTGTCGGAAAAGTCGACCGAGAGTCACGTACAGCTCGCAGTATGCAAGCCTACAGATGTCAGTACAAATCAATCTCACATGTGAGGTGACCTACGGCATCCCAATACATTGTCTAGACCCTTTGCCAAAAGAGAACAAGTACTTCTCAAGAGACTTGCCAATTACTGGATCAGTCCATCGACTCGGGTCAAAGGTTTCCGATTGTGGGAATAGATCTTCGTTATGATGCATGGTCCACGAGCTCATGCTGACAACAGTCTAAACATGTGTTAGCGGTTGGGCAATGAAAGTGCTCTGCTCGATGCATACCCCAGGAGGAACATGATAGCCATTGAACTCAGCGCCGACGTCAGGGACGACTCGTGGTAGTCTACCAGGGACTCCACAGGATAGCCTAGATTGAGTGAGCGAATGTCTCTCCCGGTTCATCAGGAATCATATCACCTTAGAGCCTCCTTGATAACAGCGGTCTTTCAACGTTAGCCATGGTTATATCAATGGGAGTATCTGGCGCATACCAAGTAGGGCAATCTTTCCAAAGCCACAAAGTCTATTTCCCCTTCCGGATCAGGAAATGCCTGCTTCAGCTCCTCCGTTAAACGTTTATAAATCTCCTCATGCCGCACAACATTGTAGGCAGCAATGGTCAGCGCATTTCCAGTCGTGTCTGCAGCTGCAGCCAACATGATATAGGCTTCGTCTTCCAGCTCCTCCACCGTAGGCACCACATGACCTTCAGTAGCCTCTGGGTGAAGAAGCTGGTGAAATATAGTTGACCGGCTTCCTTTCTCTCCCCGATCAACAGCGTCTTTCACCTTCAATATCTGGCGACGAGAGCCCTAGAGACGTTAGGCCGTGTATACGGATCAGAGACATACAACCAACCTCACGATGCAACATCATCCTCGTCAAAGGTTCACTAGTCAACTTGGCCAACCAGAACGGTGTGCTAAGTGAAAGCCCCTGGATAGCCGGGAATTGCTGAAAGAACCAGAATGCCGGACCAAAGCCTCGGATCATGTCAAAGAACTCAGCGCCAAAGTTCTCCTTACCAAGAAATCCGTAGCAATTGCCAAAGGCGTAGTCACTGATGACATCCACAGAGATAGCTCGGAAGGCATGATGCAGGTCAATACAGCCGGTCGAGCTGAAAGACTCCCTCATGCGCCTGACCAGCTTGTCTGCCTTCTCCTGCACAATATCCTCCAGCTCAAGCACCTTTTTGCGCGAAAAGAAGGGGTTCAAGGCCGATCGCTTGACTCGATGTACGTCGGGGCTTGGTGCCGTAAAGGTCGCCTTGTGGGTGCCGAACGCGCCGTAGAACCGAGGGTCCTTTCCATACCGTGATCCTATGTAGTAGATCTTCTCGCAGTTTTCAGGGTCGCTTAGGTGGATCTCGTCAGGTGTGATGCGGACAACGGGGCCTAAGCTGCTTAATCGACTGCTGCTCACAGGAGGGAATCATCGTATCATACGGCAATGAACATACCATATTGCTCATGCAGCTTTGGAACCTGAAGATAGAAGGATCCACCTTGCATGTTATACCAGAAGGCGTACAAGTGCGTGGCCCGAGCAAGAAGTGGGCCCGGTAGATGGGCCAGGGGGTGGAAGAACAGCCGGTACACGATCGTCCAGATGCATCGTAGGATGAGCAAGATAGACAGGACGGACACCGTGAGTAATAATACATGAATTGAAACCATGGCGGACAGATGGCCTGGATCAAGCCTCATGTAGGACCCTGGAGAGAGAAAGGTCAGCACCCCTGTCAGAGAGACCTTCCACTGCTTTAAATGGGGGTTATCGGGTGACCAGAAACCCTATTACCCCATCGATGCCACGCGAGTCTTACCAAGCTTGAATAATGATGATAATCATCAGAGGGTCCTACCTCATGGGGAATTGAACGAGCAGACCCCGCAAGGGGGGCTAGCCTGGATGGGAATGGGTGAGCCGTCAGTTGGGATAGAAAACCGAGCAAGAGGGACTACTAGGAAGATGGCATCAAGTCATGCGCCGTTCAGGCCTCGGTAACAAACTTCTCTGTGGCAGTTCCAAGCATCTTGACTCGCCTCGGAATCCCATCCGGTGCGAGAAATGGGTTCTTTCCAGCATACGTTCGGCATACATGAGGTAGGGACAACAGGTCATACTAGCCCTCCAGTTGCCTTCTGCAGTGCAGCCAGCAAAAAGCAATGGACCCAGTGGTCTGGTCCGAATTCCCGGCTGCAGAATTGCAGAATGTCCCGGAAAAGGGTTAATCTAGGCTCTTGGCAAGGATTGACATTCTTCAGACCTGTCATCCGCTGAGCAAGCCCAAGGCCCCATCTCGAATCATCTGTCGATTGATTTTAAACGGCCGTTACTGTTAACGGCTGGCTTTTAGTCATTTTAGCGGCCTATGCGACCAGTATCTGTGGTCTAAGTGGTCGGGTCTGACCCACGGCGAGCGATGACAAGGACAGCAGAGACAAGGGCACGAAAGACGCGAATAGTAAAAGAGGCATTTAGCACAATGAAAAGACAATAGTACAATGAAAACCGGCCGGGCGGGTCGGAGGTCAATCCGCGTCCCGTCATCTCCAAAAGTCCCCAATAGACGTGCCATGACTGGTCAATGGGTCTATTTCCGGGTGGAGCTCGACTTTGATTCTGCGAGTGTGCGGCCTTCAGAAAGAAGATCGTCGTCTGACCACCCCCAGGAAGTCAATGCCCCTGCGGTGGATGGTTGGACGTTTGCAGAGAAAAAGAGGACCGGTGGATGGGATGCACAAGGCGGCCAGGCAGACTGTGAGAGAAACAAGGAAGGCCACCTAACTAAAACTGCTCTACTCGGAGAAATGGTAGCATCATCATCATCATCATCATCATCATCATCATCATCACCATCAGACGATGGTGAGCACTTTCGTGCAACCAAGGGACTGTCCGATACCGTGCAGAACCATAAATCATAATTGGGGTCGAACTGCGATCATTGGATGTTCTCCAGCTACACCGGCGGCCGTCATCCCCCGGTCGCCTCCACCATCCAAGCTCCCGACAACCAATCGAAGGCGCGTGCAACACATACTGAGCAGGACACTAACTCATAAGTCCACATTAAACCCAAGCATTCCCGGCCGCCCCGACCTCTCATGACGGGGGACGTCGAGCCCCGATTCGCACACCTCTGCCAGGCTAGTCCTGCCTGCTTGCAGTAGTCTCCTGCGCACTGCATTTCCTCGGTTCTTATTCCAGTCAGCCGTGCCCGCAGTGCATTTCGTCCCCAAACTCTAATAGGCACTTGTAGGCTTTTGTCCATACACCCCGACCCTGTTGTAACCCAGAAGGAAACAGTCCTAAGTTAGCTTCGTGCTCGTCCAGTCCAGAAGGTTAAACACGATAGTGTCTTACACGTTGAAGTATGCATGAGTATTCGGATCACGGAGGCCTTTTCGCATCTGGGCCAAGAAGACCTGCACTTCGGCATAGCTCCACTAAATCCAGTAAGGATTATCCTGTCAGCCTGTGTCCGATTGGCTGCTGTCAAGGGTGGTGCGCAACGCAAATACGAGGTATGATACTCTCAGACACACACCACAGAAGAAAGCATGCTCAAATGCTTCATCATCGAACTGCAAATGGAGGGTGGACTTACTCCCATGACTCGGGTCAGCAGTGCCATGGCCCATCCTTCAATTCCCTGCTCGCAATGAACCAAGTTCCACATGCCTAGTTTCTTCAGCTTCTTGTCTCGACTCCACTGACCGACAGGCAACTTCATGCGGTGCTCTGTCACGTTATGAAATCCAGCCTGCTGCATATAGCCCTTAGCAAGATCGGCAATGCGAAAGGTCTTGCCGAACTTCTCGCCCGCCTCAATGAAGGTCTTCGACCAGACAGCTAGAACATGGTCGTCTGTCACCGTGCCATCATCCGATCGAAATTGTATGGACATCTCGAGCTGGTCAAACCAGCCCCCCGGCCGCAAGCGACTGGAAAGATGATTAGGGTTGAAATGGGCAACAGGAGAGTTCGTTGAGGCACTCACCTAAGAACATTCTGATAGAATGCGGGCCAGTCCGCGATTGCACCATACAGTGCACGAACGTGGATCAAATCGAAATGGTTCTCTGGATAGACCCAGTCTTCCGAGGCGTCGTCGATCTCGAACTGTAGATTGGGTGGAACAAAACCGGGCTGTATGGGTGACAAATCGGTGCCAATGACTTGTGCTGAAGGATATTCATCTGCGAAATCACTGTTCATGGGATGATCAGATATGCTCAAACTGGCCCATCTTACAAGTGCTTCTACTCACATGGCCCAAATCCCAGTGCCAGTGCCAACATCCAGCGCTCTCTGTCAGGTCAGGACCTCAGCGTTGGCTAAAAGTGTAATTGCCGTAGTTGAGCTACATGATACACACCTGTATGTTGTCGCTGATCGGCGCCAGTAGCAGTTTCCCATCGAGAAGCAATGTAAACATATGGTGACTGATACCAGCATTAGCCTGCGCATCAAGGGTGATTCTATGGAACATACGCCATATCTAATTGCTCATTTTGCATTTCGTCATTAGGACCCCTGCGACTTGGTCAGGATAGTGCGCACACCGAAGCTACCAAATGATAGAGCCATACCAATAAGCCCCCTCCTTGTAGGCGTGATAGCGTCGTCCATTCTCAAATCGGTAGGAGGTGATCTCAGAGTTTAGCGACGTTGTATCGCTCGCGCTAAGCACTCTAAGCATGAGGGGTCAATGGTGAGGGCGATTGATCAACTTACAAATCTTCTGCATAGTCCGAGAACTCTTCTTCAGGCTCTGCCTCGTCCTGGTGAGTCTAAGTCAGCCGACAATTGGAGAAAGCGAAGGTCGGCGATCAATGGTAAGCAGCGTACTGAGTCTGAAGATTCACCATCATGATGCCCTGCGACGGGCGCAGCGCTCTGGGATACGTTTTGTGGAGCCGAAGCCAAAGATGAGGTGGCTTGTGGGGGGTCATTAGCGGCAGCCCCTTGAGAATCGGGGATGGAAAAGGATTCCGCCATGGGGTCTAATTTTCGGGAAGCTCGTAGCCAAGTCGAGAAATAACGGCTGGGAAAAGAGACAACCTTTAGGGTCAGTATGGGGCAAATTCAAGCGACTAGGTCGTGTGTGTATCGAGAAAGATGGATGACATTCGATCGGGGTCGATTTTCTGATTCCTTCGCTGTCAGGGTTGTTCCTTTTAAAGAGAGGGGGCTTCCCGCTTCCCGATTCGTGGCGAGCTGCAACTAGCTGAGGTGGTACTATTAGATTGGACTACCACTTCAGGTGCTAGGCTGCCTTCTTCGAATACCCCTTGGAGATAGTCGTCACGATAGTAGCTCAGGACTATTTTCTCCCTAGCAAACAGAGATGATTGTTTTTCGCCACTCGTATCTTGTCAGCGGAAATCAGATGCAGATAAGATGCAGATGGATCGGACGACTGAGTTTCCAGCCTTGACACGTTTTGACATCTATCCAATCCACGCGTGAGTGGAGACACGAAAGTGGGCTGATCGAAGGACTTTTTGCCGCTTACTTGTGTAGCTCCAAATGCACACGATTCAAAAAATTTTCTGTACTACCGGAAGTCCTCGGCGATGCATGAACAACGATGCAGAGGATCTCTCTTTCGCTTGGCTCGCGGGTCAATCCCCACTTAACCTAGGTGGATCGGGAACGTGTAAGCGTCTAGAAAGTACTTCCTGCAACGTCTTGTTCATAATTTCACTCATGCTCATAATGCCCAAGTATTATTTTCTGGAGGTGTCCAAACATCTGGAGGACGTTGTTTCTTACCGGACAACACGGATACCAAGCACCTGCCGGCAGTACAGCCATCTATTTGGTATATCATATATTCCCAAGATGCTTCTGGTTCTACTGTTGTACTGAATAAGGAAGGTATATGATACAAAATCAAGTTTAAAGTGCGGTGCGAAAGCTTTTCTGGCACAGGTATGGCCCGCGCATGCAGTCTACTTTGTACTTTATATGCCAGTAACAGCTAAATTGAGACTGCAGTACTAGGCCAAATATCCGGTGGAAGCGCCCAGGTAATTTATCTCAAGTCAGAGCATTTGATTCTGATCATTGAAAAAGCAAGAATGCACAGCTGGCCATGATTCGGGAAATTCAGTCGTACAGAGTGGTTTGTCAACATGTGCAAGCTGAAATACATAAACTGCAATGTCTTGTGCTTAAGCTCGTAAATCTTATCTGTTCATTCCATGACACTTCGTCTCCCGTTCCTTATTGTTCGCCCATGCTGTGACCATCTGAGATCGCTTCGATCGCTCTTTGCAGCAGAAGAAGATGTTCCTGAAGAGATCGAAAACAAAGAGAGGAGGTAATCAGATGAATGGGGTCTCTCCTAGATGATATCTAGGATTGTGAACTGCCATAACTATCAATGCCATACCAGATATTCATCATAACGACGATAGGTACTCCTGGCCATGATGAGCTGGTCACATCCTCTGCCTATCCAAGGCTTGGCCGAGTATTTCCATCAAAGCATGGGAAGGCAAACAAATCCGATCCAAGCATAATCTATGTATAATTGTTTCAGTGCCTGCATAGTGTTGAGGAGAATCGCTGTCCAGGTACGATGGTGCTGTTCATGGAGAAATCCCGCAGCGGCACCGTGCATATGATGGATCCTGTTTTCTTTCGTAGTGGGAAGCCTCACCCCTGTCGAGTCTTCTTCCCCCGCATTCCCTCACCCCTTGGAATACGACGATGCGAGTGTTACAAGAAGACTTATGCATACTCGCATATATGTTCCTTGTATCTTTACACAATTATTGATAAGTGGCCAGTGACACAAATATGCGACCCCGAATGCGTTTCGACGATGTGGCCTGGGAACAAGCCGAGTAAGTATCAGACAATTGGCTGCTTCAATTCCTCGACCATGACGTCCTAGTGCCGATCGGATATTTCATGCTCGATCAGAATGGATGCAATGGGAACAATTTCAACATACTCGAGAAAGGCTCCTATAACATTTCGTTTCGATTGAAAAACGAACATGAAGCTACCATTATTCGCCTGTCGCAGCCCGGCGCTGCCTTTTTCCCAGAGGAGAAAGTCATGAATGAGGTTGCTACCATGCGATATCTCGCGGACAAGACATCAATACCCATACCATTTATCCATCACTCGGGAACAAAGAAAGAGAGTCCACTCGAGTTGAGTCCATTTATTATCATGGATTATGTCGAACATGAGACAAATATGTACGAGGCTCTCAATACTCCGGGACGCCCGAAAGAAGAACGCGGGGTCCTAGATCCGGCTATCAGCGATGACAGGCTTCGGATGCTCTATGGGGAAATGGCGGACATTTTACTCCAGCTTTCCATTCCATCTCTACCTCGGATAGGCTCTCTCAGCAGATCGATGACTTCACCTGGGACGTAACACGTCGGCCTCTATCCATGAACATGAACGAACTCGTCCGAGTCGGGAGCCTACCACAGACGAAACTTCCTGACATACACACTACATACACTACAGCTTCTTCGTATCTCGAGGCTCTCGCAGATCTCAATCTTGAGCATCTCATCCATCAAAGAAACGATTCCGTGGACTCTGCAGACGACTGCCGACGAAGATTTGTGGCGAGGCAGCTTTTTTGTAAACTTGCCAGGGACAAGCGACTCAACAATCCTGCGCTCGACAAAGGGCCATTCAAACAATGGTGTGATGATTTACGCCCAGCTAACGTGCTTCTGCATGGAGATTTAAAACTTGCTGGCGTGGTCGATTGGGAGTTCACATACGCTGCACCCGCCGAGTTTTCTTATGCGCCTCCTTGGTGGTTGCTCATAGAGAAACCCGAGTACTGGTCAGAGGGTCTCGAAGATTGGATCAAAAAGTTCGACTTCCGACTGAAGACGTTCCTTAAGGTGATGAAGGAACATGAAGACAATGCGATAAAAAAGGATCGATTGAAGGAGAATCAACGGCTGTCGAACCACATGCGCGAGAGCTGGGAAAGTGGGGATTTCTGGGTTATATATGCAGTAACGCATAGTTTTGCCTTCGATGCAATCTACTGGCAAAAGATAGACCCACGATTTTTTGGACCTACAGTGGACTACGAGGAAGCATGGAGAGATAGACTTGATCTGCTAGATGAACAGGAAAGGGATAAGATGGAAGAGTTAGTGTCACGGAAGTTGGAAGAAATGGAAAGTAGAGTTTTGGCTTGGGACCCGGATGAATATACGATGGCCTTTCACCAACATTTGAAGGAGCGGAAAGTGAAGGAAGATGAGGGGGCATGTGAGGGGGACTAGAGGAGAAAGACGCGATGATAGGTATTTTCTATATAGAACCCACATGAGGTTGAGTGCGTGTGGTTGCTTATATCAGCCTTCAATTGCATTTGGTCAATCAGCAGTATGCCACACATCGTGCCACAGTTCATAATTAGCATGGCTCGGTCTCGCGCTAGCAGTGGTAAAAACCCCTCTGCTGGTACTCTTAAACGATTCGTTGTGAGGGCTGACTATCTAGACAGTGAACGATCATCTGTGACTCTATCGTCTCACTTCGATTCTGGGCTCCCGTCGTCAATCACCGCTACTGGTCATACCAGTAAACACCATGCTTCTGAAGCTGGCGATGATGAAGTCGTCGATACAATTCTATCTGGAGTTGATGAACGCGTCAACGCATCTGTGACTTGGCGAGGGAGTAAATGCGTTATGCAGGAGATGTGTGGAAGAAGGAGAGAATAGAGGAGAGGAAAGAGGGGGGGGCTTATACTCTACGAAATCGTGCCTCAGGACCACACAGCCCGTCACGAGATTTAGAGGTACTCTCCAGAAGACATGGTGGTTGTATCTAAACAGGAACCAATAAACCAATACCAGAGTCAACGCGAAGCGAAAAGGCTAAGATATATTTGTGATGAACTGCAAGTCACCACTCCATTACCATGAGTTATGAATACTTTACTCAGTCCTTTATACCCATGTATAACAGCCATAATAGCAGCTGAGTGTGCAATATATGTTTCATTGCAATTTACTCATTGAAATGTTCTCTCAAAAAATGGTAAGATGGCTTGGAGAAGGTTACCCGGAGGGGTTTGCAACTGCTGACGTTGACAATTGTCAACAAGGCTGATTATTATATCCCCGCTTCACGGAAGGACATGGAATTGTCATGGTGGGATGGGACAGGAATGTAGCAAACAAACTACATGCACGATGCGGTACTCGGCAATGTGTGAAGACGGGAAGTCAAATGGAGCCGGACATGCAACACTTCGGCTTCCTGCATATGGATATCCGCCTCTCGGCTGGTACTAGTTATGATTCTAACGCTGGTAAGCTGGTTGCTGGTAGGCTACGATTGTCTCGGCCGCAAGCAGTCCAAGTTGCCTGTCATTAACAGATTCAGATAAATTGGTGACATGGTAGGAGACTACGTAGATCATGAACGTATTACACTTCATACGGCTGACAGAAATGGAAGAACCGTGGTTGAGGGAGCGGAAGGACGGGCCCGCTCGTTGGCCCGAACCTTGTTCTTGTTCTTGTTCTTGTTCTTGTTTCTTACGGGAATGCCGCATGTAACATCAGCTTACTGGAGGCACTACTGGGCCGGGAATGGGCGCGAAGAAGATGTTGATGAATGGGCGATTGTGTCCATAGCAAAAAGTAGAAAGTATGGTAGCATATGGAATATCTCCTTCATCCGTCCTCGTTACAGTGTATTTGGGGGGGGCTCGCATTCATAAGTAGACGTCAGACTTGGATGCTTCGAGCAAGCTATTAACGGGTTCTATTGCGGGGATGATGGTGATAGCTCAAGATCTCAAAATTATAAATGCGAGATAATACTGCCTGTGTAGATTTTGCTTGAATACAATAGTCATCACCGCTGGAAGGCAAGGACCTTGGTAATAGGCCTTGCAGGGTCCATATCAAGTAACTAATCCATCTATTTATTCATGGTTCGCTGTTCCAAGGCTTCCCATTGATGAATCTGCTGTGTTAGGAAAGAGCGACCGGGGGAGACAGAACTCGAATACGACTGAGGTGCCTTGGTTTAGAAGTAAACCCGAAGAGAAGAGGACACTTTGACCACAACCATCATTAATCTCTCACTCTGTCCAGATGCGTTAGCTCGCAGCCAGATATGCGGCTGAGCTATAAGCTAACTAGTAGTTAAGCTGCCCGCGGGACAAACGTAAGCCAACAGAGACCGAATACACTGGTTCTGGCCTGGTCGCTTGCATGCGATATTCATAGCATCTGTTACAGATCGAGATCGCATCCGATGCTGGGCACCAAGCGAAGCGGACATTCCGATGCAAGGAAAGGCCAGACAAACAATAAGACCACGCAACTGCAAGAGGGGTAATGTGTTCATCCGCTGGGAGACATTTCGCCCCATTAACAGCGTGCCAAGAGGAGGATTCGCCAGGTCAAACAGTCCCCATAGCGGGGTTTTCCTGGGATAAGCCACACGACAGGTTTTGGATCCGCGGAATACAAAGCGCTGCCAGCCAACGGTCTCCCAAACACTCCAAAGTTTCTTTGTTTGCCTGAGGCACTCAGCCCTGTCAGGGGCATTTCCAACGTCTTGGCCAGCAAGACAAGAAGTTTGAAACACAGCCACTCCGCCCGGAATCGCTCAGTCCAGAAACCCAGTGTTGTCAATCAGCCTTATGTCATTCTGTCGGCTCTGATTCACTTGCCAAGGGATTATCCCGTGGGGCGTCGTTGCGCCCAGTGACAGTCAGCCCAACAGAAGCCCATGGACGACGCATCTGCGACCAGCCGGATCCAGCACCAGCCGCAAATGCTCATCGATGACAAGCATGTCGCCATTCCATTTCCAACGCACAGCCGGGGGGCATGACATGCACCAAGCGCCATACCAAGACTGCTGCCTAGGACGGTAGGGAATCGGACGACTGGCAATGGAGATGGAGCACTGTCTGTGGCTGAGATGAAGGGGGGAAGGACCCTTTCAGGGTCCACCGCTGACCTGTCTGCCAAGAAGCCTCATTGAGCACGCGGAGTGGGGGGAATACTGGCCCCAGAGACCACCATGAAACAATAATTGTCGATTCTATGGAGCAACAAGCCACAATAGTGGGAATTTTGGCGCCTTTCTGGGGCTAGCAACGGTGAACCGTCAAATCACCGTTCATGGTACTTCACTCCATACTGGGGTTGTTGCATAGCATTCCCCTATCCCAGGAAAGCCCCCACGAAAATAGCCTACCTACTTACCAGGTTGTCGACAATCAATCAATTGAGTGCTCAAGCCACTGGCAAATGACCTGAGGCCAAGTGTATGATATTCATGTACAGCATCTCTTGGTGACTGCGATGAGCCGACTCCACTGATGCTCGACGAGGTATAAAAACCCCCTCCATCCCAAGTCCAATCTTCTTCTCCTCCATCAACAAAACAGACCACAACCACAGAGCAATCAATCTCATCACACATTCATCCTCCATCCATTCTCTCATAACCTCTTTCACAACTCCATCACAATGAGCTTCTACCGTACCGCCGAGGACATCCGCGTCGAAGACGACCACATCCTGGTCGCTAACGTCGCCAACGAAGACGGAGATATGGTGGAATCTAGATTCGACCTTAACTCGTGCATCGGAAACGATGAGGGTATGTGATCTGTTACCAATATACCAGAGTGTAGCCATCTTCTACTTTGGTTATAGATAAGCTAACCATCTACACCCAACAGGTCGCTTCCTGTGGGGCGGCAACGACTTCGCTGGCAGCGCCGAAGACATCAGCTTCGCCATCGAGGGCGCGGACAATGTTCCCGTTCTGAGAGCCAAGCTCTCCAACTCCGAGGGCGAGCAGTTTGACGCTGATGTCAATCTGGCCGAGCACATCAAAAACAACAACGGTAACCTGGAGTACCAGGAGGAGTCCCTGTTGTAAGGGCGGATTGTATCATTGAGTGTATCATGGTAGACAGTTATCATGTCTTGATAAATTTATGTGGAACTATATGAAATACCATTACCTCTGAACAAGCAGCATGCTTCTATCCCAAAATAGAGTTCAAAGTTGTTTCTACCGCTTGCTTCAGTCGAACTTTCGTCTAATATTGTTAAAATTGCCCGCGTAAGATACAAAGTAGAGGTGTTACTTTGGTAAGAATCGCAAAACAGCCCACTCGTAGTCCTATCGCCCACCCTATAGAAGAAACTCCCATCCCTGGAAATCAACACTTCATCGATCCCGAACTCCTTGACCAAATTACCCAGTGTGTATCATGTTAAATCAGGAGAAACAAACTAGATAAAGCAAAAGTAATCGCCAACAGGTTTGAAAGATCAGTTTACCACGCGTGTCTCCCATCATTGACATCCAGATCATTCCCATTCCAGTCTTCATCGCCACTGAGCTCGTCGTCGAGGAAATCCCCCTCATTGTATTGTGTCTCAGACGGACGCTGATTGTCAATGCGGACCATCACAACATCACACATGCCTTGCCTCGCAGTCAGTGGTTTGTCGCTGGCCTCCCGAGATTGCTGCTTCTCTGCATTTTCGGTTTCATCATCGCCGGTCTCGGAGAATTTCCTCAGAGCAAGACGCGCGCTCTTGCGTTTAGATGGTGTCGAAAGCCCGCTATGTTGGGTGTCAGAGTGCGTATGAGTCTCCTCGGCTTGTGGGTTACGACTCTGATGGTTTACATCTGATTGCGGAGCGGCGCGAGGGATAGAACGCAGGTTCGGGTCCGGGGGTGGACTTCGTCGTAAAAACGTCTGCTCTAACTTTCCGATCCATTTTTCCCTAAAGGACGCACGATCTCGCCAGCCGATCTTGAGGATTGCACTGATCACAAGTCGTCGCAAATTTCGCAGTTCGGACGCTGCATCGATGAGCGTCCCAAAGAAGACCTCGGCTGTCGTATCGTCCCATTTGCGCAACTGAATCAATTCAATGTCCTGCAGCGTGGATGGCCAGGTTGGAACACCGGTTGACAGGTCAAGCAGGGCTTGAAAGTGGGGTTCGACGTCGTGATAGCTTGACGCATCATACATGGATATATCCATCTTGAACTTCTGGAGATTCTTGCAGGACTCTGCAAGATTCACAGCGAAGGCTAGGCTTAGATGGCGGTTATGTCTCAGATCTAAGATCTGTAGATGATGACCATGGGAGAAGAGAAATGAGCCGAGATTCATGGCAGTGACGTTGTCGCAATTGTTAATGGTGAGTGAAGTAAGTCCCATGGGCAAGTTGGGGAAGAGGTACTCGTTTACGATGGAACATTGTACAAAATCCAAGCG